GCTGCCATTACTAGTGTGCCACGAGAAATGAAGCCTTCAAATCAGTAACACCACAGCAACTATCACAACGTTCATGCAACGAAATATTGAGAACCCTTGGTGGCCACAGGAAGCCCAACCTTCCACCATGAGCCTTCTGTTTCTGCGAGGGTGCAGGCATCCTATTATCACAAAAATGAAACATTCAAACAAAAAACTGTGTCTGCGAAGATTTAGGTTACTCGATAAAGGAAACATTTTTCAGAACGGCCGACTATCTTTGTCTCACACTGGAATAGGAAGCATCTCAGATAGCGTTTTTAGTATAATTGTTAACTGTAACGCTTACCTGAAGCCTCGAGTAGGGGTGCAAACCCTCAAACTACTCTTGAGTGAAACGCACCTAATTTCCCCCACCCAAGCATGTCATAAAATTTCTATTTCGGAGTCTGTCGTAACAGAACTTGCAGAAACGATGAAGGTTCAGAACTTCAGATGAAATAACATAGCCATTACATGATGTACATGATGTAAGATTAAAATGGAAGGCTGTAACATACCGAAGAGTTTGGTTTGTCATAACCCTGGCCTGTGCAATTTATCATAACCTGTTTAATGCAGACACGTGTTAGGGTCAAGTAGAAGTCTCAGCAGAGCTCTTCTAGAAGCAAAAAATAGTTTTAGACCTGCCTTAGTTTCGATCTTTAGAATGCTCCGTGTCGTTTTTTCAGATGAGTCCTAAGAAGAGACTTCGAATCAAAACAACACAATAAAGTTGAAGCGTTTTATTTACAAATATCTGATAAATACTATTGAAGTTTCTGAGACGCACTCGGCACCTAAATACGTGTATTCTGTAAATTTTTTTCTGTGTAGATTTTAGTTTTGAAATATTAAAAAAAAAGACTCTCTTGGTTTATTAAACACGTTGAAGCAGGTCCTTTCTAAAAGCAATTACATTCGCCCTTTGTTCGCCATGCTCGTCTCAAACACCTCTAAGCTTTTATTTTCCAAACTGTATACCATTAAGCTTCCATACAGCATTTCTCTGTGGACAGGCTCTTCGTCATTTACAAAGTACACTTCTATAATTTAGTTATCGTGTGACCTTAGCGTTCGAGTGATCATGAGAGTAGTCCTGAAATGGACTTTTGTCGGTGGCAGTGACTCAGAGAACACTTTATTTTATTGTAACTATGTACAAGATAAAAATGTTTTAGCTCATTTCATTTTGTAACAGGCTCTTAGAAGCATGAGCATCCTATATACTTTGCACTGAGTAATAATAACTTTTTTTCATTGTGCACAAATGATTAATTCTTGTAAGCATTGATGTAAAATCCTTTACCAGGCCATAGATTACATATGCATTGTGTTTTATTAGTTGAGGCTCGGAGGGACACTGCTTTTGTGTCCGTCGTAATATTTTCCTGCTTTTTGTCTGTTGGTTTCAGTTTTGACGAGAAAGATTTTCCATTTCTTCCAATTTTCCCGCCATTCTGTTACTTCGTGCCTAGTCTTGAATGGCTTGATAGAGAAATTTTCAATTGAATGTTGAAAGTAGTCCCAGAATGCTTTGGTTTTGCTTTATTTTCTGTGATTGGTCTAAAAAAAGTCGTGCCACTTTCTTGACCAATCAGATTCAAAACTTAAGTCAATCGCGACTAGATCACCCGCGTTTTCCCGCGCTTCAGACAGTTTTCAAGTTCCTCATTGGCTCCTAGTGACATTTTCCTTATTATGATAGGCTCTTGAGACTACTTTGCTTTTAGTTTTATGACGGTCAATCGAAAAATTCCCCTATACATCACAGTCGATATGTTATTCTAAGATTCTAATTTTAGGACTGTTATTTCTTCATTTCTAATCACATATCTTCCAAATCGGTGTCTCCTTCGGATCCACTGTCGGAAAGCTTCCTTTCCTTCGATTCTTTACTTTTATACACCTGTATCATCATGGCCTCTTGTTCTTGAAGATGCTTGACTGCGGCATTGTGCTCCTGAGCTCGCTGCCTCAGTGACGCAATACTGTGGGACCTAAGGTCATCCCCAGTCTCTTTCGAAGTCTCTACCTTGATTTTATCTTCCATGAGCTTTGCTTTTTTATGCATGCCGAGCAGCCATGGGGCCGAGTTAGAGGTGAGATGAGGGGGAAGGGGTAAGGAGTGTCGAACCATCGCTCCATACAACCCGTACTCGGCCATTATGGAGCTGTGACCCCAACACTTTTCCTTCTTTCGCCATTTTGCCCGTCGATTTTGAAACCAGACCTGACGAAGTGAAAATAAGAGTTACTCCATTAGTTTCGGCTCGTAAAGATCTATGGAACAAGCGAGCAAGGCAAAAATGATTTAAAGAAGGAGTGTTTGTTCCACAAGTTATATAAGTTCAGTGAGGAACCGACTTCGAGAGCGCAAAACACTTTGGAAAACAAAAGCAATTTACTCCTGAATAATTTTTCCAAACTCGATTGAAAATTCTCTCATGACAAAATCAAAACTTTAATTTTAAGAATACATCCACCTTCATTTTCATTCTACATAAGATCAAAGATTTCTATTTAAAATTCATTTTCGATGATTTTCGAAAAGCACAGTCCTCGTGTTTCTAAAAAATGTCGCGGAAAATTATTCATGCAACTCTGGTTGAGGCTTTTTGCAGTCGAGACAAATTGTTGTTAAACAAAGTCAAATATTCAGCGTTCCTTAACATATAACTGACTACATGCATCTAGTATAGATATCTCTGATAACGTTTTTATGAAAGAGGAAATTGAGATTTATATTTTCAAACAAAATAGCATCAACTTAAAAAACAGGCCCCCCTATTATAAGAATATTGAAAATTTTGATTATTCGCAGTGAGTTTTAACAAGGTAAGAAGAGCCTCTTCAAACGTAAATTGTAAACAAAGTGCTAAAAGAAGGCTCTCTAAACGGAAGGTCTAAGACAGTTTGGAAAATAAAGGCCAAGAATAAATTAAAGAAAACGACGTCTTTGTTGTTCATTCGAGGAAGTCTTTTCTTTGAACTTGAAACTAATAAACAGAGATAAGCAGAGTTATCTTCCTTCCAAGGCTGCCGGGATAAACTTTCCAGTTATTAATTTTCCAATCCGATAAATTTACTTCCTATTTCATAACAGTTCATGTCGCTCTGAACCGAATAAGAAACTTGCTCCTGTCCAATTTCTGTAATCCCAGACTCGACTTATCGAAGCGGAAATCTGTTCACTTTTTTCATATTATGCTGGCGGTGTGCAACCCAGGAATTTTACGTTATTAAAAAGAAAGCAATGTTTACTTGGTGCTTCAATTAATCTCTGCTTTTCGAGCGCTGTTTATGTGTTAATTTTATGCCTAATGACGTATTGTGAAAGGCTTGATTATTGTACGAATTAGTGATTTTGTTGAGTATGCGTGAGGTCGTTAAAAGTTAGTTTATATAGCTATCAAAACCTTATTTATGGGCACGTTTTGTTCTAAAATTAATCGTAATGATCTTTAGTGATCTAGATTGCCTGAAGAGCAAGTTTATACAATGAAGGCCCGCTTTTCAAAACTAATAATGTTTTGTTTTTGCTTGTTAGTGTCGTATTACTGGGAGTTTTCGTAATTTGTTCTTTTGTGTTTGCAATAAGACCGCCAAAACAGCTAAACTCAAAGCAATTGTTATTCAGGCCGCAGAAAAACAGCGTCTTCATAGTTTCAGGTTTTCATTATATGCCTTGAATGTTGTAAAAGGAGAATATTTTATCAGAGTTTTGTTTAGTTTCCTCTCGAAATTTTCATGACCATGAGAGAGAGGGCAACGATTAATTAACGATAGATTCTCATAATGATTCCACCAAAAAAAAAAAACAAAAAAAGGTAACGGAAAAGAAAATTATTTCTATCAGCGATTATAACTTAACTGGTTTTTTTTTTTTTACTTTTTTTCTTTAAGTTAAAAGCTGGTTAATTTAAGGAGTCCATTTTGCTTCATGCATTACAGTTATGTAAGCTAGATTTATGTAAGCTAGATTTATCGCCGATTCGTAAAGACCTAAAAGTCAAGGTTATAATTTGCCGAGAAGACAGAAAAAAGACTGTGTAGAATATATATCATCTATTCATTCCTAAATGGCATTGTTTTGTTAATGATTGTTTGATTTATCGGAGACAAACAGCCTTTCCCATTTTGAAGTGCGCAAAGTTTTCAGTTAAAACTTATTCTTTCGGCGCACGGCATGCAAACACGGAAACCCTTGAAAACAAGAAACGTGGCCACACGCTTAAACTTTTAAATGGGTTTGAATTAGTAAGCCTTTCTGACAAAAGAACGGAAGATAGTTTTCCCAGCTTTGTGATTAAAATTACTCATTTTTTTTTCTTCTTCTGTCCTCGAAAAGGCCAAAAATAGTTAATAACTTGTCGGCCACCACGACGCGAAAAAATAATAAAGAAAAGATGCTGATAAGAAAAAAATTTGTCGAAATGCACCTTGCTCTTTGTTAGTTTGATTTAAGCTTCACCTTGTGCTTTTTCTTTTCAAAGTTTTTTTTTTGCGCAGAATTTGATGAACAAAAGACTGCGATTTACGTGATAAATTGTCTCCAAAAGAAGCAAATACTTTTGTCATAAACTAATCAGGCATTTCTAAACAGTAAAAGCAGTCTATACGCGCTAAACTATACATTTTCCGTTTATTTTTTGCAACATTGTTGTGTTCAAACATGCAAACGGAGTGAGTCTAGTTCTAAGTCTTAATAAGTATCCTGAAATCGTGAAATTTATCGAACATGTTCAGGAAGTGATTAATTTTTTGAGATTCAGGGCATTTTTCATTGAGAAGCAAATTTTTAATTGAAATTTATTAATTTGGAATAAGTGGAACATTTTTTTTTTTTGGAGCCTTTTTTTTTTCTTTATTTTCCATTTTCATTTGAATCTTCATTTGTAGGCTTTCTGTCATGTCTCTCAGCCTTAATTTCTAGCCTGAAAATTTGGATGCAAATTCTGAGCAACAGTTTCTTTTCAACTTCGATTTCATGACGAGTCTATTAATTTTACCGCATATAAACTAGTTTCATTACTCTTCCACATCGCCTGGAGCAAAATTTACGAGACCTTTAGTTCGTTTTGATTGTCATGTTGATTTAAAACAAGCCCTAACCGACCAACGCCATACTGTTCAACGACAAATTTAGTATAAACAATTTTCGTTTTGCGGCGTTACTTAAAAGTTCACGTCTTTCACTTTTCGAACTATGATTGCAGGAGGATTTTTATAAGCGCTCGCGAACCGTTCCAAACAGCTGGACATAAATGGGTAGTTTATAAGCTGACTTGAAGTAGTCTGGGTAAACATTTTGAGTCGAAAAAAAAAGCAGGTGAACTGCCGGAATTATACAACTAACGAAAGTCGTGCAGTTTTTCATCCCTGAAACAAAAAAATGAAATTTGTAAAGTAGATTTGAAGTCTTTACTCCTGATGAATCTTCCTATCTTTTAAAATGCTTTTTTTTCTGCTTTCTGCCGACTACTAACTTACAGTCTTAACCAATGTTTCTTTGTTGTCTTCTCTGTGATATTTTCGACCAAGGCAATTTGGAAACTTATTTAAGCCTAATTATAGTTTCTCTAATGATGTTTTTTATTAACACTGATTGGTGAATGTTATATTCAGCAAAAGCATAAGTTCTACGGAGAAGATATACGAACTAAAATGGATATGTGTGTAGCCCAGAAGTTTACGGTCGCAAATGTGCAAGATGGCGGAAGTTGTAACACGCACCCACGAAAACGACTTCGTTAATTTTTGATATACTTTTGTTGTAACAATAACAATTTTCCTTAGCTACTGTCTTGTTTTAAGAAGTTCCTTTTTCGTTATTTTACCATGCAATTTTGAACTGAAAGGAACATCCAGCGGATAGAAACGATGGAGGAAATTTATGAGCAGTTCAAGCTTCTATTGTTTAAATTGTGACGAACAACAGTATGATTTGACCACAACACGTTCGTTGTATTATTTTTGAAGTTATATAACTTTTAATAATTTTGGAGAGAGTTTTCTTTCATGGTTTTCATTTTTTCCTTCTGTATGTTTTCACAAATTGAAGCTGCTTCTGGTCGTCGGATATAAAGCTAGTTAGTTTTAAATGCAGTCAAAACAACCTCAGAATTTCTTTCAAGAGGTAGCCACTGCCTCGTTTAAATTAGCTTTACAAAAGAGCCAATAGGCAAGGACACAGAGTAAAATAACAAACAAAATATTAAAAGATCTCTGATATGACCTAAGGGCTTCATCTAACTTAGCGTGGTGTTTTCCGGAGAGTGGAAATTTATCCGTAAAACACACGCACTTGAAAGGCAAGTTTTGGAGTGCACGCTGTTTTAAATCAACACCGTGTTCCTCTCTTTCTTTAGGTTTTCTTGAATGTTTCATCAATTTCTCAAAAAAGAAATTAAGCCGTTTTCTTATTAGATTGTCTGTTTTGGCAATTTGGAAAAAAACATTATAAACAATGGCGCCGCTTCGCAGCTTCTTTGATTGTATCTTGGCTGAAAGAGTAAGCCTATGGCTCAAGCATGCGAAAATTGGCTTGCTTATAAATCAGAGATATCACTGAAGGTTTTAATGATTAGCTAGAAAACTCGAAACAACATCGAATTATTTACTCTTCTGGGCAACGGTAATTAAAACGGGGACGCGGTATTTAGAAAAATCAAATCGAACCGAAAATGGAGATTTCCTTGTATAAAACTGGTAACGAATTTACAGTACGGAGACAACATTATGTATGGCAAAGGTTCTAATTAGAAAGACTGTCTTCAGTCCTTGAAATAAATGAAGATGGGTAGTTTAATAACGAAGTACGTATTTCGAGCGCGCACTCAATTTGTTTACGGGCGGTGAACTCCAGCACAAATCGATTGTTTTGATTAGCAGCGAAAAGTTTATGGACTTCTCTTAGCAGTTCAGTCTGAATTTTTACAAAGTGTTTATTTCTAATTTTTAACTTCAAACCCAAGCCCAGAGGCTGCTGTTGTCCTTTCCTTAAGGGGATCCAAACTCGCCGAGGTTGAAGTGGTCAAATGCATTTTTCAGTCGCCCCCGCGCCGGGAGTTCTTTGGTGATGAAAACGCTCCCGATTCATCCGTGCGTGCTAAAATGATTCAGCTGATATCGTAATACACAAATCAATCGCTAGCACGGTCAGTGTAAGATTACTAATTCGCTTGCCAAGACAGCTGAATAGAGCTATTAATCCTGACTGAAACAACGGCCTTAAACTATCTCAGCGGGAAAACACAGTTTGAATCTCATCACAAGTAACAATTACAAATGCTGTCAGGGAGAATTAAACTTGTTTTTCTCAGTGGCAGCGAAATGAAAGCGTTCTTTTGCTGTGACGCGACGCAAATTTGTATTCTACGCGGAAATTTTGTCAGCTTTTGAAATAAAAGAAAATCGAGAGAAAACCTGTTATCATGCACGTAGATCAATGCTCATTCAAAGATTGAGGAAAGTCGAGAGACTGATAAAAAGGAGAATTCGAGACGAAACCTAACTCGCTAATCATTGTTTGTCAAAGCTTATTGAAATGTGGAGGTTTTCCGGCAGTGTTTGAGGATTCTGTTAAAAAGTAATTACAACAGTACTTGTGAGAAACGGGCTTGTCAAATTTTCTTTCATTTAATTCTCGATGTAATGATAACGAAAAACAAAAACTTCCCAACACAAACGTGCTTGTGAGACATTGCAAGTGTATAATTGAAAAGGCTGTTAGGCTCCAAATTAAACGCAAACCCACCGGCAAAATGTCTCCTTTTAGGAAATGTGGTTGAAGGATGTTTTCCTAAGTCAAATTCTTACATTAGCCCAATATACCTTAACTTGCAAACCGTGACAGATGAAAAGACTCTTTTGCAAACTTTAGTATTGATTCATGTCAACTTTGAGAATGAAATATAGACAAGTTAGTTTTCACCCTCGTGCAAACTTCATTAGAACTGTATGTGTTTCCTGTTAGTTTTTATTTCGCTTTATGGCATTTTATCGCAGTATATTTCCGCCGCCATATACTCGTATAATATGCTATATTTACGCAATAATAAAAATTTAAGGGCGCTAAATCAACTTGATGGCTATACCGAAAAGGTCGTTGAATTCTAATTAAGAAAGCAATTACCGACCACCAAATATGTAAAATTTCAAATTCCGAGGAAAAAGTGAATCCGCTCAACAAAAAGGCGACATAGTTCAAAGAAAAAAATGGCATGCAATTAAAATTTTTCAATTGCACACCGGCTTGCTCCTTTTTCTGTTCAACTTCCGATGTATTTTTCCGTCGCATAAAGATTCCCTCCAATTTTGGAAAGCATACATTTAAAGACCGTTTTTCCGCCGATTTTTTTACAATAGCTAATATACTAACAATATTTTTGGCACCATTTGTTGAACGCTTTGTTCGGTTTATGGTGAGAAAAAAATTCAAATTTTTTGGTTTTTAATTTACCTCAAGTGTGGATTTTAGATAGTATTCAAGATTACGAGCCCTTGTTTGACGTGAGTCTTGATCTCGGTTTATTATCATCATTATTATTTCAGAAAAAAAATGAAGAATCATTGAAAACCTCGCTTGCTGTCAAATCAGAAACACCTGCGGCTCTGAAATCAGGTCGGCGTATAATTACGGTAATTAAAAGGAGTTCATAACTTTAATGAACACTAATGAATGCCAATTGCGGACTAATTTTTATTCCCGGAGCTTTCACCATCGTGGCGAACAAAACAAATTCGGTGAGATGGGCAAAGCATTTACACGCCGCGAATCGTTTGTGTTTTAATCAACGCAGAGTTGTTTTTTTATTTTTTTTTCAGTTTCATTTCAATTTTTTCCAGGACGTTCTATCTGCATAAGAAGCTCATCAGATCGTCGGTACAAAAGCATTACTTTGCGTCGCTAAGGCAGATGTCTTCTTTTTGAGCCACGCACTGAAGGAAGGTGATCAAAAATCAAAAAAATATACTAATTAAAAATTTAAAGGCCGACTGAGCCTTCCTCAGGGATTTTTTCCCCCGCTTGTCGTCGGAATGTTTTTGGAAAAGTAGAAAATAAATAAATAAATATTTTTAACTATACCTGAATTCGGTCTTCGGGTAACTCGATTTTGGCAGAAAGGTTTTCCCTCGCATACACGTCAGGATAGTGGCTGTCTTTAAAAGCCTTTTCCAGTTCTTCTAGTTGATAATTTGTGAAAATAGTGCGATGTCGACGCTTTTTGGGTGCCTTCTTATTCGCCGTAGTTTTGTCTCCCTTTAGGTACAGGCACTTGTCAATTTTACTACTGTCTGTCCCGTGATGATCTAAGGATGAAATGATTTTCCATTTAGACGCCTTGAAGGAGTTGATATTTCTGCGAATTAGCAGTCTCTCACTGGAATAAATCTGCCATTTTCGTTTTAATAGAAACTAAACAGAATTGTTATCCACAAATTTATACGCTGTGACAGAACGCGAAAAACTCTTATAGTAATACAAAACACAAATAGCGGAATGAAACATACAAGCGTTAGTAAATTTCTTGTGAAACCCTACTATATTATAAGCGTGGCAGCTGTTTTTTCCGGAGTTTGTTGCGTTCAGTTAGAAATCCATTAAAATGCAATCAAACATTTTGAAGTAAATCCAGCCTAAGTTTGTACTATCTATCGTCCGGAAACCAAATTTATTTCATTGTGAAGTCTTTTGAGAATAAAGTTTTCTGGCAAATTCACGGAATTACTCGAAAAAGATAACGGAAAGAAATCCCCGACGGTTTGACGAATCTGTCTGCTAAGGCTTGAAATGAACACCAGTTGTTAATTAGGGCATTACAAACCATTACTTTCGATCATTTGTTCCAATCAAGACACCGACGACCGCAGCAGAACAGCTCACTAAAACAGTCGTAGAAGGGGTGTTTAAAATGCAGTTAAACGAAATCTGATCTTGGGATAACAAAGTAGAAATTGTGGCAGACACTCACCTGGTAGTGCAGAAGCCTTTTCGTGGTCGGCATTCTGAGCCTCTAATCGGGCTGAAACCGGCGAAAAGCATTTTACAAGGCTCACACTTTGGTGACTTGCCGCCTTCGGTTTTGAGCTCTTCTCGCTAAGACCAAGGATGTCCTGAATAGCAAACGAGTGAATCTGGGAAGAACGTTTAACAGGAGGAAATCCCTCGGCGCGCGGAATAGCAAAACAAAATTGTACTTCGCGGCTCATGATGTTAGAGGCTAATGAAAAATCACCCAGGCGATTCCTAATAAGACTTTTGACCCGTCTTCCCTTGGTGATGGATGCGATATTCACTTCACGGCGGCCCAATATATCTGGATAGCTTTAATATTCCTGCAATCACTTTTATCTTCATTTAGCTATAATTAGCTATTGTCCTCAACAGAGAAATAATGCGAAGGAAATTTAACGATCAATCCGCAGCTGTCAATCAAGCCTCAGGACACCTAAATGTCAAACTTCTTTATACGGCTGTATTATTAGCTATATTATCTATCAAACGGCGGTCATCTAAATAATGAATTGACGAAGAGTTCCCTTAGACCCCGCAAAAACACATCAAGTTATCCCCCAAGCCGCATTCAACTTTTATTCCTTTGTTTCGCGATATTTTCCAACTTTCTGAATCGGTCCGTCGTCTTTCATCATTCTGTGCGGACAAGCAGTCAATTTTTTTTACACTTAATTAGTGACTGAAGCGAGCTTAGCGCGGGGATTTGAAAGTAAACATTGAAACATCATGTAACATGGGTTAAAAGCGCATCTTTTTGTTCCTTCGCTCTTTAGAACGGCATGTTTACAAAGCAAAAGCAAAGCTGATTTGCGACAAGAAAATATCCAGCCTGCTACATTTCAATCGAGGAAGAAAAAGCCAGGATTAACAGTTTGTTGTTAAAGCCCTTTTTTCGTGAAAGCCTTTTAGCTGACATTATCAAAGACCTTAGCCACCTGAATCCTGGCGAGTGTTTAAAAAACAAGAGGGTATTATGTTCCCCGCTGATATTACCATATTCAAGCTCTGAGGAGCTATAGAGTTGCTTATTTCATGACTCGAAAAGATCTTGAAGATTTTTTATCTTTTGTCTAGGAAACCATGTCAGTGCTCCTCGGAAGAGAACCGCATGAGATGTCAAGCTGGAAGTGAGCGTGAGAGGATATTTGACAAGTTGTCACTCATAGAGAAAACAATGAAATGTCCCATGGTGCGACTGAAAGACCGATCGAAGAGTTTATGAGCTGAGAATATATTAGATACCTCTCAAGTGCATCAGACCTGGCAGCTTATAGCTTCCTTTGTTTTCAATGCACGATAGAGCCGAAAATTTTAAATTACACTTTTTCCTTTTGATATGTTACTTTGTTTAATCGTCAACAACGGATTGAAGTTGGCTTGTTTTGCAAATGAACGAAACTAATTTTATGTAAGTTTTTTTTCCGACAATTTGCAGTAGATTTTATTCAGCAATAAGTTATTAGTTCCTCTTTATAATAATGGTCGATGGATAATCCAATACAATTATTCCTGTTTGAATTCTCTTGCTACAAAACCGTTAAGTCGGAATGTTTTTTGTTGACTTCAGATTTCAATACATTTTGCAATTTGTATTTTTTACACCGAGGGAGTAATCTGCGCTGTCGTCAAAATAACTCAATTTAATCAGATGAAAAGAAATCTGAATTTATTTATGAGGCCGCGTTCGTCCGCTGGTTTACAAAAGAAATACCCCCAACTCAATTAAACGTGGCCGGTGTTACAAAGTGCTGACCCAAAAAGTGCAAAAGTCTATAGGTTCTTCGAGAAGAATCTACCAAAAATCGGCAAATATTCGCTCTTTTTTTTTCCACGGGTGAAGAATTTGAACAACCCCGGACACATTCTGACAAGTTATTCGGCGTTTACACTGGGGAAGAATAAACTTAGATGCAAACGAAAAAACCCGCCACCAATTTTTTAAACCTTTACTCTATAGCCTTCTGTAAGTGATTTTATCTCTATCAATTTATGAAAATTCTCTTTCGCACTCCTGAGAAAATTGTCCGGGAGCCAGGCTCTTGGAAAAAGAAATTTTAAAAACAATGTTGGTTTGTGGTAGAAAGCATGAGAATTTAACAGACTGATTTCCTCTAAAGGCTGCCGACGTACACGTGGAAAATCGCATCGTTCCCAACGAAACGGTAATGTCTTAGTCCAAAACCATTACCCCAATGCAACCCTAAGGCCGAAAAGCCTTTGTCACCACTGAGTGTTGTCGGAGAGCTGCTTGAAGTCAAATTAGTTCACAAAAAAGACCTGATCTCCAGCCTTCCAAATGAGTTGTTTTTAATGAGGCATTCGCTGCTCGGTGCTTCGTAATAGAACTAAGATTAATCAATCACTGAGCGATTTCAAAAGGAAATTCTTTCATAGAGAATTAGCGCGAGATTTCTACGCGTTGGTATACAGCCCACATTCTTAGCTTCATTACCTAAAAAGGGCGTACCGTAACGTTAGTGTATAAATGAAAAACAAGAATTGTTTTTCTCTGAGGCGGTTAAATTCTCCAAGTTCACCAGTGGTTCTCATTGTGTACTTTGAGTTTTCAAAGGCCTTGCGTGATTGTTTTATGTTTTGGCCTTTTTCATTATTATTATTATTATTATTTTTTATTTTCTTTGGAAATCCCCTTGCATAGAAAGCCATTTAAATTTTGGCAAATTAACCGCAATACCTTAAATTTAAAATCTAAATTTGCCTTCTGGGTGTGGAAAAGCTGTTTTCGAACTGATTCACGTCATGGTGGTGACATTTCATTTACTGAATCATTTTCAAGTAGTCGGGAAAAGCATTTGTAGTAATCCTGAAAAATGATGTAAAAAAATAATAGTAAAAAGTAACACAATATTACAATTGTTTCAAATATTTTTGCAGCCTTGCGTTAAACTTAACTGAAGAATCGAGAAGAGAAAGCTGTTTGTTCTCTCCGTTGAGAGAAAAGAAAAAGAAAAAAATCCAAAAATAATTAGAAGACTTTCGACAAAAAGCGGCTAATAGCCATAAAAATAGCCATAAATAGAGAGCTCGAGGGCCTGATGGTGAGAGACCTTTTAAATATTTTATGAAATTGTAGAAATTGCCAACTCGATGGTTCTTAGATCTTTTGGCGGTACCGCGCAAATGAAGTGTTTACACCGCTAGATTTGTTCCAAAAACTGACAGGTGTTTGTATATACGGCTCATCAGCTATAACTTGATGTTGAAAATTGCAGTTTGCTGTAAATAGTTTTTAATACGAGTTTGCCCGTGACTGATTTTACACACAACTAATCATAACACTTCATTACAGAACTAAATTATTACCTAAACTGCCAAACAGTGATTCGGTAATTCTTTGATGGTAAAAACTGATGACTTCAATCCACAGAGAGAAAATAGAAAAGACTCTGATTAACCTTGAAAGAACTTTTAAAATTCACCAGCTCGAAACCACGATTTTTAGAACTTTATCGAATCTTGAAAATACGATTTTTAGAAATATCGGAATAACATTCTTTACAAAGCCAATATTATTATAATATTTAGTTTTTTCTAAGTGACCCTTTCCGCTCCGTGCATTGCAAGAAAAGGCGCATATTTAACTAGCATGTTAGATAGGTCTGAATGAGCTTGTTAATAGCTCTCTTAAGGGCGAAGTCTAACTTTCCTCACAAAAGCACGACTGCACTTGAACGAAACAGCTGTTTTTTTGTATAATGCAGAGTATCTTCGCTCGGAGCACTATGACACTGTTTTCGTAAGCTTTCATTATACACAAAAACCATTTAACTACAAGACTGACATTTAAATCTTTGAGCTGAAAACCTCTCAGTGAAAGCTTCGAGACTTTGTTAATTTACCTCGTATGGTCGAGCAGATTCGGTCCTTAGTGGGTAAAATCACTCGCGATCCATAGAAAAGTGTTTTTTTTTTATGGCTCAGTAGGTACAATGCATGCAGTCGAAATTATGGCAAATGAGCTTCTTTATTAGATCAGCGTTGTGCTGAACACTGAAAAAGTGTTGATTAACTTGAATTTAACTAGAGTACAGCTTTTACGCCAAGGAGGGACTGATGGACGCTAATTGAAACAGGCCTTTAATTAAACGTTGAAAATGAAGAAACATTTCAATGCCTAAAGCTGGGCTCAGAGGGATGTACGTGACTGTAAGGTTGACACTGACTCAGTAAACTGGAAGTGATTTCGGAGACCCTACTATGCACCTGTTCTCGGCTTTCATTAAGTTTTTTCTTAATGATATAATGCTGATTCAACGAGAAACTCATCAACTTGCTACAATCTTCCTCGGCTAAAAGTCGTTATCGTTAACTACCACGAGCGATTTTTAATTTTGTCTGATTTCCTTTTTTATAGACAAGGATTAGTGTTCATTAAACTTTGCTCAGTCAGTTATCAGCGGTCTGAGGGCAAACAAAATGACAGCTTTTTCGCCTTACATGTCATTGCTACGAAAAATAAATTGTTGCTTCCGGTTTATTACATGAATTTAATAGTAGCAGATGATTGAAATTTTACTTTCTAGTTTTACAATATCGGAAAAGTTCTTATATGATATTTCCTTCAGAAGATAGGACTTATCAAGTTGTCTTCTTTTTTTAACAATATTTACTCCAGAAACAAACTCATAAAAAAAATTAATAACTCGTATTAATCTCCTTGAAATTAGTGACAACAAATTAAACTCCTTCGTTTGTGTTCGCATGTTCTAAGTTTGCGCTCTGGTTCTTCCTTGAAGTGAAGCTAACAGAAACAAACTCATAAAAAAAATTAATAACGCGTATTAATCTCCTTGAAATTAGTGACAACAAATTAAACTCCTTCGTTTGTGTTCGCATATTCTAAGTTTGCGTTCTGGTTCTTCCTCGAAATGAAGATAACAGAAACAAACTCATAAAAAAAATTAATAACGCGTATTAATCTCCTTGAAATTAGTAACAACAAATTAAACTCCTTCGTTTGTGTTCCCATATTCTAAGTTGGCGCTCTGGTTCTTCCTTGAAGTGAAGATAACAGAAAGAAATATTTTATTCATTTTGTCACGTTTACTAAACAAAGAAGCCTTGTTTATGTGGTCTCGGGTACCCGAGAGAATCCTCCTCCTCGAGACAACTTTACTTAGCGTTTCCCTGGAGTTGTGATTTGTCACAGCTTTCCCCTCACCAGTCTCCCTTGTGACAACTAGGAAGGTTACATATGAGAGAAAATGGTCGACCAAAGGAAACAGTTTAAGTGTCTTCTTCTTCATTGTGTCCGTCTAAGGCCCATTTGTATGGTGTCAGGCAACCGAGACAACCCTACACCGAGTTATCCTGGCCGGGCCAAAGTTTCATTTTTTTCTTTCTTAGTAACTTAATTCAACCAAACGTTTACATTAAAT